TCCTCCCTGCACAGGGATATCCAGGCTGAAATTCCTCATAGGCATCTTGGTCAGGTCTCCTTGGCTTCCTTTCCCAAAACCCAGTATTCCTCTACCTACCATTGTCTCCTATACCACAAACACAGGGGTGACTGAAAACCCAGGGGTGGGGGCACTCTGACAAATGGAGTCAGATTTCTTCATAAATAATTTCAGAGGGCTGTGCTAGGGTGAGAAAAAACAAACCTAGGGAAAGCCTTTCGGTGGCCATTTTTGTAGTCCAAGGCCAGAACAATCTAGCAGGAAACTGAGTCTGTGGTGATTTCTTCGAGTGGGTGAGAAATGGAATGTATGGGGCTGGTGAAGCTTCTCGGGGTGGAAGAAGAGCTGCTCCTGCTGAACAGATTCCCTCTGGTCCTCCCTGGCCAAAGATAGCCCCCCAACCCCACTCTTTCTCTCCAGCACTACTGACAGAACACACAGAAGGGCAATTTTCTTAGCCCCTTTCTCACTCTCTGCCTTAGAGACTAAAAGCAGAAAGGTCTCATGGGCACTTGTCTCCACAGCAGGCCCCAGCCAAGCGCAGAAGGAGAGGGGCTGATGCTGGAGGCTGAGACAATATCAACTCTTAGTCAAGCTTCACAGAGAACAGATGCCTGCATGGGGCCAGAGTGGGGAGGGTGGTATGTGGAAGTCTTCTTACCATATCTAAATAATGGCCTAAAAAGTAAGGAATTTACATGCAAGAGCAAGGTTTTGTTGAGAAAAGGTTGAGCATAAAATTGATTCCATAAATCAGCTAACAGAAAAGAAAAGCGGTAGAATATCACAGCAGTTGTCCATTGTACAGGTCCATGTTGAAGCTAGAAGAGAAGTAGAGAAGACAAAACTAGATTATAAATGCTGCCTGGGTTCTCTGGAGAGCTTGGCTAGGAAGGTAAGCAGAGATGCTCAAAAATACAGACAGGTAGAGGGAGTACCTGAAAGAACAAGGATTGTGCCACAATTTTGAAGCATAGCAGAGAGACTGCAAGCCTCTAAGAGAAACCCTAATTGCTGCAAGATCTTGTGATTTTTTTTAAATGCCCACAAATTATTTGACATTCCTGCTTTCCAAAGTTAGAGCCAAATTCCCCTACCCTCAGACTTACTGACTCACTTCTGATGAATGGGCTGTGGTAAAAGAACTGCACACATCTGTGGAGACAAATGAAGTCAGTCATTCAAGGCTTTGAGGCTTTCCCTTATCCTCACTCTCTTGGGTCACTCTCTCCAGGCAGTCAGCTGCCATGTCTTAAGGATACTGGAGTAACCACATTCAGAAGTCCACATGGCAAGAAACAGCCAGCAAGGAGGAAGATTTCCTGCCAATAGCATATAAGGGAGCCTTCCTGAAAAGGATCACAATCAAGTCTTCAGGTGACTATAGCCCTAGCTGGCATCTTGAACATGACCTCTTGAGAGACCCTAGACTACAACCGCCTAGCTAAACTATTCCCAACTTCCCCACAGAAACTATATGGGAAAATAAATATTATTGTTGTTACAAACCACTATATTTTTTAGATCATTTGATAACAGCAACATATAACCAAGTGCCAGACCACAGCAAACTGTATGGCAGTAATGACAAGGGGGGAACAACCCACAGTCAAGAGATGAGCCTGAAGGAAGACTCATCAAGGTCCTCACAGTTGACCAGAAAGGGAGAAAAGATTTTTTTTCTTTTTTTCTTTTTTTTTTTTTTTTGCCCTAGAGGACAACAAGGTAAGGATTGTAAAACAGAAGCCAAAACACTATGCCCAGAGACCTGGCTTGACCATCTGCAGCTTGGCTGTCAGCAGGCGACATCCCATGGCCAAAGAGGATGACAGCCTTCTGAACAGGCACTGATGACTAAATGACAATGGCTGACCAAAGAACACACCACACCCAGGCGTCCAGCTGTCCGAAGGAAAGAGGAACAGGGCGTCCTAAAAGACCTAAGAATTTACTCAACGAACACTGAGAATATGAGATGTTTTAAATTTAGCAGTGTAGTTACCTTTGTTGGGTGAGTTTAAGTGTATTCCACTACCAAGGAGGGTTGTTCATGAGCAAGTTGTTCTTAAGTATGGAAAATAAAGTTACATTTTTTTCTTATTTTTTCCCGAGACATTCTCATTGTGTAACTCGGGCCTTAAATTCACTATGTAGCCCAGGCTGGCCTCATACTCCTGGCAATTCTCCAGCATCAGCCACCTGAGAGCTAGGATTATAGGCAAGAGCCACCATGCCCTGTTCAAACTTATATTTCTGCACAACTGAATGTGACTATAAATTTTAAATCCTCTACACATTTTTATTTACTAAGTATTTCAAACTTACACAAATATAAAGAAAAATGCAATGAACACCCATGTACCCATCACCTGGTCTAAAAAAATCCTCCTCCCTGATCAAATTATTATAGACAGCTAAATTAGGTAGAAATATTATAGACAGATAGGGTTGGGCCCTTGAGAGAGTTAATACAATATAAGATAAAGACGCATTACAACTGTGACTGGAGACACATCAGTTAGAGGTTAGAATTCAAAATAAATACAAAATGACCAGGCCTACATACTTCCCCAAGGTATGAGTTAAATAATAACCTGTGGTCTAATGAAGTCTAGATAGACATCAGTCACCTTGGTAGGTGACCAATTACCTAGGTCACCAGGGTAGGTGACCAATCCCCCAGATCCATCACCTTCCTGAAAAGTTCTCTGTTCTTTCCTTGTATACTTGCTACTTGACCTGCTTCCCCACTGTATCACTATTACCTAAGCAACTATACTTATAGCCTTATTGGTTGATCATAGCTTTAACCCACATTGTACCCATATGGTTGTGCTTTATAAAACTTCCCCTGAAAAGTGAGCCACCCTTCCTTGGGACCCCTCCTGCCCTCTCAGGAGCTAAATTTTCTCCTCTCAATAAATATTTCCTACTCTTAACCTCTGTTGCTCCTATAATTCATTCTTTGATTTTAGAGAACACAAACTCACCGTATCTGACATCTAACAGGTTGGGAGTTATATTTCCCCACTATCATTTAGAGGTCTGATATCATATCTATATCAGTATTACCACTCTACCTCTACAGGTAAGTGCTATTCTGTTTTCTCATTAACATTTCCATGCATTTCTTTCTACTTTCACTGTATTTATTGCTACAATAAAATAGCATTGTTTTGCTTGTTTTTAATCTCTAAATGAAAACATATTGCACGTACTTATCTGCAACTTCCTTTTTGCTTAAAATTATAGTTTTGGGGAAGTACCAGGAGGCAAAGGGGATTCTAGTTAAACCAACCTAACAGGGTTCTTGTTGAAGACAAGCCAGGATGATCAGACATTATCTGGAGATGGTGGAGGATAAAAGATCTGATCAGATACTGAAGGTGACCCAATATCAGGGGTACTGAGTTCTCGATAAACTAAAACTGGATTTTTACAAGAAAGTAAATAGATGAGCCAAATTTGAACAAGCAAAGAATCCTTGTTATAGCCTCAATCCCAAACACTGCTTTTTGGTCTCTAGAGACTTCCTCATTTTTCTAAATAATTCAGCATTTCATTTAAATGGACAAATATTAAATTTTACCCAGCACATCCAGGGACTTTGTACTTGGAGTTTTTAAAGGATACAATATACCACAGTAGTTTCTTTCCATACGTTACTCAAAAATCACTTAGCTTGCAACAGTGTGAAGTACTTTAGAAATGAGAAACACATGAAGTAGTTAAGACCTATTAGGACACTGTTACAGGAATTTAGACAAAACAGAGTAACTGGAATGAGGATGGTAGTGTTCAGACAGTGAGAAACAGACTGGGGAGATTCTTTTTTTTTTTTTTTTTTTTTTTTTGAGACAGGGTCTCACTATGTAGTTGAGACTGACCTGGAACTCACTATGTAGCCCAGGCTGGTCTCGAACTCCCAGCGATCTTCTCCTGCCTCAGCCTCCCGAGTGCTGGGATTACAGGCGTGCACCACCATGCCTAGCGAGATTCTTAGTAAGACATCTTGTTTCCTGAATCAACTAGGTTTCAGGAAACAAGATGTCTAGTGAGTTTTTTATAGGAGTCAGGAGCCCAGAGGTCAATACGAATTGTGCAGAATTATAAAGTCTACAGGGATAAAAGGAAAAGGGAGGGCCAGGAATTTAGCTCAGTGGCAAAGTGCCTACCTAGCAAGCACAAGGTCCTGAGTTCCTTATCTAGTACCGAGAAGAAAAGGAAAGGTGGGGGGGTAACTGAATTTACAACATAGAAACCTGACGAGAAGTACAGAGTGGAAAGAGACGTCCTATGACTTAGCGACGTTTTAAGAATTTAAACAAGGTAAAGCAAGCGATGGGGACTCTAAGAAATTAAGATAAAGACCTAGAAGACAGTGTCTTTCACTGAAGCCAAGAGACGAATATATCCAAAAGGAGGAAGGAATTGTTAAGTGTTCAGTGATTCGAAGAGGTCAAGAAGGAAAAAGAAAAATAGAAAACTTAGTATTAGATTTGGTGACACATAGAAAACCCCCATTCTTTGAGAGAGGGGAAATGAGTAATAGAGGAAAACTTTAAAAGTCTGGCTTTGAAAGTGAAGAGCCAGAAAACATTAGCTACAGTTATTCTAAGATGAGGGAAATTTCGGCACGTTTAATGCCAAGAAGAAGCTAGAACGATGAGAAAATAAAGTAGGACCAGTAGAAAGATATCCATAGTACTACTGGCCCAACAAACTAAGTGCACATAAAGAATTCTGTGGTTTCGGTAGCTTCGAATTTTAGGTATAGGGTTTTGTTTGTTTCTTTAACAGGACTGTTACCGCACTGCCCTACTCCACGTACTCCTGCCCCTTCCCCGCCTTCTGCCCCTTTCCCCGCAGTCCCGGGAAATTTACAACCTATCCTCACAAACGCTTCCGGGCCACCAGGAAAGGCCACGCCCAGTCTCCATTCCGCTGTTTCAATTCGCAGGAACGCCGACCCAAAAGACGCATGCGCAGAGGGTTGAGACGGGAGGGGACGGGAAAAGTGCGGCTTTAAATCTTGCGCAGGCGCGTTGGGTCCCGATCGCTATGCGGGTGCTAGTGGGTGAGAAAGGGCAGAAAGGGAGGCTGACGGGCGGGCTTAGCCGGGAATTGAAGGCAGGGAGTCCTTGCAGAAAGGGCACTGGTTTTGAGCGCCTCGCCCAAGAAGCTGAATCCCCTAATTCCTATGGCATGTCACCTCTGCCCTCGGGGAAGGGTACAAGTCGGGGAGAAGTCGAGTCCGGTGGGATGGCACCAGAGGTGGGACCCACAAGCCGGGACGGAAAGCGCCTTCCTGCACAACCGAGTATAAAGAGTTTGTATTCTCTGATCAGGTGGCGGGACTGGCTTCATTGGGACAGCCCTAACCCGGCTGCTGAAAGCCAGGGACCACGAGGTGACGCTGGTCTCCCGACGGCCGGGGCCCGCCCGGATCACGTGGGTACGCGGTCCCCTGGGGACGGGGCAGGATGGGGTGGCCAGAGTGGGCGGGCGGGCACTGTGCTTTCTCTGACAGGAGGAGCTCGCCAGGTCGGGGCTGCCGAGCTGCGATGCCGTGGTCAACCTGGCCGGAGAGAACATCCTCAACCCTCTCCAAAGGTCAGCGGGGCCCTAAAGTGGATATCCTCCAGAGCAGAGGGAGCCTTGGATAATGGAGCTGCCTGATTTAGAACCAAACCTACATCCCGGACTACTCATGCCACCCACGAGCCCACCTGCTCCCCTGCCCAGTTGATTTAAGTCCTCAGTAATAACACGATGCCCAAGAAAGAGACATCTTTTCATCTACAGTAGACATATTTCGAATTTTACTAGAAAATGTCATGGAATAGGCCCCAGGGATAAAGGCTCATGTGCACATATGTATTTAGTGACCTTTTATTCCGTTTTTCCTGTAGGTGGAATGAAGCCTTCCAAAAAGAGGTTCTCAGCAGCCGCCTGGAGACCACCCAAATGTTGGCAAAAGCCATCACCAAAGCCCCACAAGCACCCCAGGCCTGGATTGTAGTCACAGGCGTAGGTATGCCCCCAACCCACCAACCTGTCACATTAGCCAGGGGAAAGGGGAGTGCTGCAGCGAGAGGGTTCCTGAGGCCTTTTAGCTGTGTACACCTGAGTGCTGATCTTTTCCAGACACAGTAACTTCTAGGCCCTCCATCCTTTTTTTTTTTTTTTTTTTTTTTTTAATCGGGGATTAAACTCGGGTCCTTGTGCTTGCAAGGCAGGCAGTGGAACCGCTGAGCTAAATCCCCAGCCCCTCCATCCATTCTTGTTGCTCCTGACCTCTATTTGTACTGAGAAATGGAGGCCCTCAGAGAAAGGTGAGGGAGGGTGCTGATCCTAGTCCCAGGGAAAAGCCCACCCGTTCCCAAGTCCCTTGCTTAACGCACCATAGTTCCTTAGGAACAGAGTTCCCAATTGTATGTCACCTTTGGGACCAAATAGTTACATGGCATACACACAAGCAAGTACTCAAAGTGTTTTATTCATATTACACCATTTAGAATTCACAACAACCCTATGAGGTAGGTACTATTATTCCCATTTTAAAGATGCACAAATTCCAAACAGTTACATAACTTGCCAAAAGTCACAAAGTTAAGAAATGGCAGAGCTGAAATTAAAAATTAAAAGCAGTCCAGCACCCAGGTTTCTGTTCTTAACCACTACACTCTAGCAGCCTCTGAGTGTAGCCGGCAGACAAAGGAAAAAAGTTCACAAAAGGAACAGGTCAGGTCATAGAGAAGCTCAAGAGAGAGATATGTGTGGAGAGATCCCCAGGACCACAGAGGGTGAGGTCGAATGCAGCCTTGACTGCAGAGGGCCAGGCAGGACACAGACACCCAGAGCAAATGAGTGCTCTTCCACTGACAGCTTACTACCAGCCCAGCCTGACTGCAGAATATGATGAGGACAGCCCAGGAGGAGATTTTGACTTTTTCTCCAAACTTGTGACCAGATGGGAAGCTGTAGCCAGGCTTCCTGGAGATTCTACACGCCAGGTGGTGGTGCGCTCTGGTGAGAACCAAGGATCTTGGTACCAGACAGGGTGGAATGGCTTTTCTGGGTTGGGGAGGGTAGAGTGGAATCAGGGGAGCTAAGCTTAGAGAGTAAGAGGATGCTATCACTTCTGGACAGCCTGCAGAGGGGAGGATGGGAAGTCCTGAGAGGAGTCACAATCCTCAACTCTGGGACAAAGCTGAGCACACGTGGGGACAGATAAGGAAGGGAAAACTGAGGAATGAGTAGTCAGACTGCTTCCAACTGTGGGGCCTCCCTGTATCACACACCTGCCTGTTCCAGGGGTTGTGCTGGGCCGTGGAGGTGGTGCCATCGGCCATATGCTGCTGCCTTTCCGCCTGGGCCTGGGGGGCCCCATCGGCTCAGGCCGCCAGTTCTTCCCCTGGATTCACATCAGGGACCTGACAGGAATCCTGACCCATGCCCTTGAAGCAAACCATGTGCAGGGGGTCCTCAATGGAGTGACTCCAGCCTCCACCACAACCAATGCTGAGTTTGCTCAAGCCTTGGGTGCTGCCCTGGGCCGCCCAGCCTTCATCCCTGTCCCTAGAAGTGTGGTACAAGCTGTCTTGGGGCAAGAACGAGCCATCATGCTGCTAGAGGGTCAGAAGGTGGTCCCCCGGCGGACACTGGCCTCTGGCTACCAGTATTTCTTCCCAGATCTGGAGGCTGCCTTGAAGGAAGTTGTAGCCTAAGTAGAGAAGCTCATGACAGGAGGCCAGGCCTTGACAGAGGCTCCCTGATTAGATACTGTGAACAGCCCCGCGTGGTTCTCTACCTGAGATCAGAAACCATCTGGTACTTGGGGATTCCTCTTCCATTCCTCTCTTCCCCATTGTTCTGTCACTCCACCTTATTTAACTGAGAAATTCTCCAGTCTGAAGGCTGTATCTCATCAAGTCGGAACTTTAATCTCTGAGTCCATGTAAGGAAATTTCCAAGTTTGGTTTCTCTGTGTCGCATTGTTGCCCCAGTTCTCCTTTGTGCTGTGTAGGGTGCTCTGCAGTTTTGACAATAAAGATAAATTATCTAGCTCATCTTTTTGGCCTAGATTCTCCTAGAATTTATTCAGGGACTGCCACTCAAGGTGACTAGGTAACAGCTCTCTTCATCCTTTCCCTTCTTGGTCCCTCTTTTCCAAAAGAGCTGATCACAGGTATAAGGCATGAAGTTATGATAAAGATTAGAAGAGGAGTGATGACCCTTTTCCAATGAGCTTTGTGGTCACCTGTACATCTGTTCACGAAGTACACGTCATCAGGAAGCTACCAGAGGAAGAGAGGCCCCAGTGTAGATCAGCCTTCAGTCTATGACACCAAATGGCAGTGAATTAAAAACAACCACATGTTGGTCTCACTTTATCAATCTGCAGCATGACAAATCCAACACCTAGGCTTTGCCTCTCATCTAACTGAAGCCACTTTCATCTACCGGGATCCTTAGCACAAAAGTGCAGAAGATCCCTCTGACCTATTGTACATCCACCATTGTTGAGAGTAGAAAGGGCAGGGAACCAATCGTGGGCTACAAATTCAACCCTGTCAGGAAAAATGAGTCCCAAGTATTCATCTGGGACACTTTGCATCTAAAGTTGAGATGTCTGCTATAGTTTAACCAGAAGTGGTTCATCAGCCCACAATTTGGACCATATTATCCAAACCCCTTTCTTCCCAGGGTACTATGGGTTGAGTCACTGTCACTCCCTGACCAGGCGGGTCACCACCATGCATGCCTCCAGCCTAGGTCAATACTGACTAGCGATATAAAGCACCTGCACCAGCCTGCCGAAGGGCAAAGACAATGGAACCTGGGGACCCTCCCTCATTATTCAGCTCCTCATGCCTAATTCCCTGCCACTCAAGGAAGAAGTCAGAGCCTAAAAAGTATCTAAAGCAGGGATATGCTGCAGGGCCCAAAAAGAACAAAGCCCAGGGGCCCATCCTACCTCTTACCTTTGTCAAGGACTCCAGGAAGTTGACTGTTCCTGGGGGAATGAGGACCAACCTCAAAGGTTACAGAAAAGCATAATTTAGGCTACACTAGAGGAAGGACTACCAATGAGCACTGTTCCTGTAAGGAATGTGCTACCTTTCAGATGGTAAATTCCCCAGCACAGAAGGAATTCATGCAGACACAAGGCAAAGGCCTACAGAAATCAGGATGGAGATAGGATGTCATGTGTGTTAGTGGAGTTAGTCTGGTAGCCAGTCAGGTACCTTCCAATGCTGATTCTTCAGTTTTCATTTTCCAGATAACTGGTTCATCCAGATAAAGCCTCTGTAGCCCATCTCCATACACATATATGCACAACCATGCATGCGCACGCGCGCAGACACACGCAAAGTAGAAGTGCCTCAAACAGCCTATGTCTTTGTAAAGAAAATGTTAGCTTGTATCACATTAACATCATTGCAGAGCGTGGCTTCATGGATTTGGTGAATGTTCCCAGTGCTGCAGCAAGAGGCCCGAGCCAGGGACTTCCTGACATATTTGTTAATCTGTAAACAAATACTTGATACACCAGGGGAGCTGCCATTTATAGGAACCCTGAGAGTATTTTTGATAATGCATTCACCCCTAACTTAACTCTGTTTTATAAATGTGGGTTCTGAAGGTTGCCCAGCAGGGACACAGCCATTATTTGGCATGTTATTCTGAGGACACAGTGCTAAAATCTAGGGCCTAGAACCTGAACATGAATGACCCACATCTCTGAGAGCAAAGTTTTGGTTAGGGAGCCTGTGCAGGCACAGGCAGACACACCTGAGACTTGGTCCAAGCACCTTTCCTCCAAGCTTTCCTCTACAGTCTCATTTCTCCCAACAGGCACTTTTATTCTGAATTTCTAGGCACAAGTAAAGGCCAACCAGCTCAATCAAAGCCAGACAGGCACAGCTGAGACCAGAAGCCAGTCACCTTCTGTCTTCTTCCTCAGTGCAACCCAGCCTACCTAACACTATAGCCCCTCAAGGGCTCAGGATTCCTTCTGACACTCCCATGACTTCTGACAGTCCTCTGGTCATCCAGAGCAGCAGCCAGGGGGAGAAAGGCTTAGAATTTCTGCCAGCCTTGGGTTACCCTAGCATGGACCCCAAGTCAGCCAATGGTCCGTCTCCATGACTTACCCTTTCTGGCAGCCCCCTTCCTATAGAAATCCTGTGTTAAAGCAACATTAGGAAGTTAAGGATGAGCAGAACCTCTTGAGAGCTAGATGGAGTTCTGATTTGTTATTTGGTCACTTTATGAACCTGTCCCCAAAATTCCCGGACAAAAGCTTTCCCTGTACTGGAATGCTCTTCCCGGTCCATCCCTGGCCCAAAAAACGAACTCAGAGTGACTCTGGGCCAGAGCCTGAGCAGCACAGGGACTGTCACAGAAGGGGATGGGCTGGGGAGCCTGGAGCTAACAGGGCAGCAATCACACAGGCAGGGAAGGCTCAAAAGTTGAGGCTCAGTAGGGCCTCAGACAGTTGGTTAATGTCCCGGCAGTAGGGTTCCCGCTGCAGGATGAAGTCCACCTTGTGATCCTGACCCCCAAACACCTCCAACAGCTGGCGCCGGAGCCTCTCGGTCTCCCGGGTCTTCCGAATGCCATTGCTGCCTTTTTCCTCTTCCCTCCCCTGCTGCTGATTACCATGTCCTGAAAAGCCCCTGGAAGGATGCTGAGCCTTAGAAGACACCTGTTTCCTGGACAAAGCAGAACAGGAAGAGCTCAAGAGCATGCAGGAGGGAAATTGGACCTCAGTGGGCCTCTTCTCTCACCATTGCCTGGACGTTAATTGCCCTCATCCTGACTCAGGGGAGCAATCCTGAAGTTGGCCACATAGTGGCAGTGTTGACTAACTTCTGAAGAGACTGGCACTTTTGGAATCAGAGGGACCCCGCCAGTATTAATTCAGAATCCTGAATTAACCTTAGTGGTCCAGCAGAGGGCACACTGAGTACAACTGGCCATCTGTACAAGCACCTACTCTCAAATAACTCCACCAAACACACTGATTAGGAGAAACAAAAAACAGGAATTTCCCTTCCAACTAAGAAGTTCTGTGTCAGGAGTCCCTGGGAAGATTTTCAAGGCCAAAACCAGAGGTAACTCAAAACTACAGCAGAATTAAGCTGGCCCAAACTGAGGCCACACTCCCACCTGGGTCTCCAGGCCTGCAGAGAGAGAACAGGGCTAGGGGCTCCCTGCAGAGTCTGGGTATTACCTGGCTGGCTTCTTCAGGAACTCATCCAGGGTGGGCCCATTTCGACCCAGTGGGTCATCAGGGACCATAAAGAGGTTTCCCACAAAAGTGAAGGGCAGCAGGCTAGATAAAGAAAGAAAAAAGTATGGTCACAGCAAAGCCCTTGCCTACCTCTAGGCAGTTGAGACCAACACCACCAGAGCTACTGGCTACCATCCCTTGAAGCAACTTCAAGCCCCTTCCCAGAGTTCTCACCCAGTGGCCAGAGAAGAGCTGGTTTTAGAGAAAGGTCTGAATCCGTGCCCTATTCTCAAGGGAGAGCTCCCTCACCGCTCTCTGATGATTGCCATCCACTGGTCAGACTCCTCCGCCAGGTCCCGGAACTGGTCATTGGAGACAATGATCCCACTGGTCTCTTCAGCCAACTTCAACATGAACCTGTCTCAAAAGCCACAGCAACCATTCTGCATTTCTCCAAAGCCCCACCACCACCACTTCTAGGAACGAAGATCTGGCCCTCCGTGTCACCTTGGCCCAGCTACAGGTGACTAATTGGATACAGATGCCAGGGGATACAGGAGAGATGAATCCAAAATGGCCTCCCAGTAGCATCCCACCTGCTCATAACCCTTCATCCAACACTTGTGCCTCATTCCTAAGATCTAGCTCTGACTCCATCTTCCACCCTACCCCACCATGCACAGATCTAATATGTTCTTCCCCTGAAAAACCTTCCTTTCTGCCCCTTCCTTTTAGTCCCACAATTACCACCACAGTGTTCAGCTATCACAATTGCTTATTGCACTGCCTCCTGAGAATTCACCCACCTCTCACCATTCACCACCCTGCAGTCCCTCCTGACCTCCAGCAAGAAAGGAAGCTCTTCCCCCACACAGAGCTCTTCCATGCTTCCATTCACCTGCCAAGTCAAGTCCACATGCTCAGCCTGGCAGCTACAGACCTCTAAATCTGGCTCCAAGCCACCCTCACAGCCTTCTCTCTCCCTGTATTCCCTAACATACGCTCAACCCCAGTCAAAATCAATGATCAGATTACATCCTGCTCTCTAAAACTTGCCCTGTGTTGTCTGTCTTCCAAGTTTCTCAAACCATTCCCTCCATCTAGAAAGTGCTTCCCAAAACTTGCTGATGAACAGAATCACCAAGGGTAATTTTTTAAAATAGATGCCTGCCCCCGACTTCAGCAATTCTGATCCACAGAGGAGGGTACACATGGTAGTAAGTACTGATCTTCCAAGAGCTTTAGAAACCAAGAGATTCAACCCATCCCACATCCTCCTCAACCAACAATTCACAAACCCCTTCCTTCCTACAAAATCCCAGACGTGGGAGGGCTCCCTTCCCTCTGGGTTCCTGTAGTATTTGATTTATAGTTTCTTTTGGCTCTTCTAAGTCAACAATTAGGTCTTGTACTGTTTTCCTTCTGAAGACCATGTACCTAGTAGTAAATGTGCAATTGGTACTTGAGAGACTTTCCTATAAAAGTAATAGGAATCAGGCTTAGATGCGCGAAATGTCTGGCTCTGAGTTGCCATCCAGCAAATAAATTAAGGGGCTAATATATAAATGTATTGTATATACATGGGACACAAGAGGCATGTTCTGATTAAGCATGTCTTACTACTAGTATATTATGTTGTATGTTCTGTAGTGTTCATTCAGCAGGCCTACACTGAGCACCACTGTGCTTAATCACCATTACCAGGCAAAATTTCCAATTTATATTGTGTTATCTGCACACCAGGTCCTACATAAGTGCCAGATAGCTTCTTTAAAATTCATTAAAACTGTCTCAGTCTTCAGTTTCAATTCTGTTTCAATGCTGCTAAGGAAAGAAGTTTCCAAGTCTTGGAAGAAAACGTGAGATCTAGACATAAAGTAGCATTGGGAAAAAGTGAACTGTCCTTTTGTAGAATACCACTTACTTAGAAGGGGTACTAGTTAAGTATTTGAAAAGACAATATATAATCACTATGATTTAAAAACTAATTTTTAAAAAACTGATTAATGTCCTAAAGAACAAAGAATTTGTAGTTGTAAAATATTTAATTGGTTAATTGGCTTTAAAAGCTGCACATTTCCCAAGCCTTGCATTTACACTGCGGCCAAAGTATGCTCTGCTATTTTTTTTTTAAAACCATCTGGCAGGTCCATTCTTTCTTTGTCAAGGTAGCTAACTATTCTTACTCCTATCTCCACATACCTAAGATAGAGGTAAGATTTCATGCAACACTTAATTAGGTCCCTGCAAAGTGAAAAGGCAATGCTCATAGCCTAGCACCTTGTGTGATGCAAGTACTCACCTTTACCTTCTTTTGCTAGTCACAAAGAGGGCACATGAATACAGGAGGACCTTGAGGTTAATTCATTAGGAGATGGACCCACATACACTCTCAGTGAGTAGTGCGATGTGAGGCTCCAATTCAGATATTCCAATTCTAAGTCCAGTGATCTTTCAAATAAACCATGTTGTATATAATCCTATTCACAGATTGTGTTTCCTCAGTTTACTTATTTTGAATGTTTACTCTGGTTACCCTTTTCCATGTTAGGGGGAGCTTCTTGACGTTTGAAAATTCAGATTGTAAGAAGGCACCTGTCAGCTGCTCCTGTCACCAGCTTTCCCACTTTTCCATAAGCCAGTATTTTTTAAACTGTCATTTAGTTTGATGAAGGAAGAGTGAACCTGCAGGGCACATTTACTTAACCAGCTATAAGGGCAGCTGGAGGAAGAACTGTCCACCAGTGAAGCTCAGAGACAGAGCAAATGGTGAGAGGCTTCTATTTCTCCCTCACTCTCCCACTGGGCTCTTTTAATATCAAACCCGGGGCCAAGAGAGGAGCAAGTACCTGTCATCATAGGAGGAGATCCTCTTGCCATCCATGACTCGAGACGGGGTGAGAGAGAGCAGGCTGAGTGAGTATAGCTTTTGCAAGAAATGAATCTCTATTAAAGAAAAGAAAAATAAACGGGGCTGTTCTCAAGGTGGAAACAGAGTCTATCTTAGGACAAAGACGACCAGACACAACTCACCTCTGACCTTGCCATCCTTACTGAAGCGCCACTGAGGCACAAAGACAGTGATGTCACGATGGCCGCGGTCCCAGAAGTATTGCACGGCAATGGCAATGCCCCGGCTGGAGAAGTAGTGCTGGAGGCCGTGCCTGCCGTGGGAAAGGGTCAGCACTTGAGACCAGAAAAGGGGTCTGGCAGGCTGGCTGTGGTGCCAGCCCCTTGGCACATGTCCCCAAGGTAGACAAAGACACCTGTCTCATCCTTCCTCCCCAGGACTCTGAGCCCCACAAGGTACTCACACCATGGCCACATTGCTGCCGTCAATGACAATATGGCGGAGGTCCGGCTGGCCAGGCACATTGGCAAGACACAGGGTAAAAGGATCCTGTAGGGCCTCTTGAAAACGCTGAGTGCCAGTCACCAAGTTGCCTCCACGGGTGCCTCGTTTCCATGGAGACCCTCGACCTCGAGCCTGCTGCTTGTCTCCCCTGTCTCCTAAATCTCCCCGCTCTCCACAGGGCCATGGGGGCTCAGGTGCAGGTGGAGGGCTAGGCACTCTCAGAGGTGAGGCTTCCCCGTTATGGAGCCGCTGGAGGAGGGAGGCTCCCCGGGATTGAGACGCCCTTTGAGAAGGGCCCTGAGCACCGGGAGACTCACCCTGGACGCTGGATCCTCCTCTTTCCTGAGACACACCCTCCCTCCCCAGGGCTATTCCTTTCAGGCAGCCCATCTCCCCTGTCCCTCCACCTGCCGGCTGTGACCTGAAAGTCACTTCTTTCTCCCACACCTCTTCCCCAAGCAGCTCCTTCCATTCCTGATCCACCTCCCTGGGACCATCCTGTCTCCCTCTATTCTTCTCCACCATGTGACTCACTCCACTTGCCCCCCTTAATTCTCCCTGCCCTCCAGATCCAGCATCCAGAGATTCCCCGCCTTCACTCAGGGGTGGTCTGGCTTCCTGGTGCAGAGCCCCCAACAAGCCTGGGCTCCTCTGCCCCCATGAGGAGGGTGCCAATGGCCCGTGCCCCCTGGATGCCTCCTGCACCAGACTCAGTAGCTTCTCCTGGACAGCCAAGGGCAGCTGCAGCAGGGCCTCTGTGTGGGCATCCTCCCAGGGTTGCAGCAGGGAAGAGAAATCCCTCAGCACTCCAGCACTCTGAGAAGTCATGGAGTAGGACCCTGGCCGAAAGTCCCAGCTCAGCTGTGCCACCAGATCCTCCACACGACTCTGAGCCATGACAAAGGCCTCTGTTAGCCCACTGATCATCAGCGAGCCAGGTGCCCCAGGAACCAGGTGGGCTGATGTGCTCCAAGCCAGGCAGTCAAGGAAGAAGCCCTGGGCTCCCAGGAAGATGCAATGCAGTCTGGGTGGGTAGTGGATTTCACTCTGCAGTTCCGGGCTGCAGAGACCCTTCAGGTACTCCTGGGGGAAGGTCAAAAAAGGAAACTGCTGGAAGCCATCCCCTTCCAGGTCACTGCTCTCCCCTGAGCTCCAGGATGCCTGGAGTATCCAGGTGGATGCTACTATTCCTATTTTGCAGATAAGGAAACTAAAACTCGGATCTCAAGACTGGCAGGTGATCAAGTCAAACTAAATCCCTTGCTTGACACCACCCCTCCCATTCCCACCCCTGTGAATTCCTTGGTAGGGCCACTGGCTCCTGGGATTATCTCTGCCCTCCCCAAAAGCACACAGTGATTCATCCCCGACAGAACCTAGGCTGTCACAGAAGAAATGAAACCAAAACTCCAGACAAACACAGAGGGGGAAGTCCCTCGATGCCCAGGGTATTGAGGTTACCCCACCAGTGAGATAACCAGGGAGTGGAGATCCTCCCCATCCCCTCCTCCGACTCTGGCTCTGACTCCATGGGGGGGCGGGCTTCCCGGCTCCGTGGAAGGAAGAATTCACCTTGGCTCTACTGACGTTCTCCTTGGAACCCTCCAGCTGCAGCCAGATGTGGGGGTTCTCCGGGCAGTCCTTGGGGAGGACGCTCACCCCCACGCTGAAAATGCGCTCCAGTCGGGTCTGCTGTGCCCGGACCTTGTCCTCCGCTTCCGCAGACACCGTAAAGCGGTCGGGGGTCGGGGAGCCAGCCCCCCAAGTAGGCATGGCTTCTTCCCCTAGTCCTGGAAGAGGAAAAGGCAACTCAGAGGTTCACAGTCCCCTCAACCCAAATCCTCGCCTCCTGACCCACACCCACAATCCACAGGTCGCACTTAGTTACGTTTCTGGTAAACAACCCCAGGAGGTAACAAGCCTCTGAATCCATCTCGGTGGTAGGGAAGGTGTCAGATTCTCGGAACGCAGGCCTCTTCTCCCGAAGAGGAAGAGATGGTAGGAAAAAGGACCACAGCCCGGAGCAAAAAGGGTAGTGGGCTCCAGCTCGGTCTGGAAACCACAAGGAGTGGTCGGTGAGAACAGAGACCCCTCGGGGACTCAGCAACCTTCGAGTCCAAGGCGGCCTCTCCAAGACGAATCCTTACCAGGGCGTGAACTGGACTGTCCG